GTGTGATTTCTCTTTCTGCCTGGCTCCTGGGTTTGTAGGGACACTGTCTGCTCTGTGGTACAGAGTCAAAACGCAAATATTGGTCTGTGTGAGTGGGCTTATGATATACGCCAGTTTCCAACCGTCCTCCATCCGAAACCGAGACATCGCAATCCAGGAACGCCAACCTGCCATTTTTTACATCCTCTTGTGTGAACTTAATATATTCATCCAAAGAGTTGATGTGATCAGTGAAATGTTGGACTTCCTGGGCTTTAATTTTAACCCAGGTGTCATCAACATATCTGAACCAATGGCTGAACCAGGGGTGCCACCGAGCCATTGGTTCAGATATGTTGACGACTCCCCCACAGCCGCCCATTAATCGTCTGTTCAAGTAATGTTCTTCCAGAACTGTGCTGGCTTTTGTAGATGCTTTTTAGTGGTTTAATTTAGCCTTTTTATTCTTGAGGCTTATGAGTGTCTTGCAGCATGCAGTGAACCCTCTGTAATTACTTTCATACAGTCTTCTCTTTATGGTAGATTTGGATGTTGATCCTTCTACCTCCTGGAGAGTGGTGTTCACTTGGTTGGCTGTTGTGAAGGGCTTTCTCTTCACCATGGAGATTATTCTGCCATCATCCACCACTGTTGTCTTCCATGTGCGTCCAAGTCTTTTTGCATTGATGAGTTCACCAGTGCTTTCTTTCTTTCTTTCTCAGGATGAACCAAACTGTAGATTTTGCCACTCCTAATAGTGTAGCAATTTTTCAGATGTTTTTATTTTATGAGACTTGAGAGAGAGAGAGCTCTTTTGATCACATGTTCAACTTCAGGCCTTTGATCTGCTTGAGAATTACATAATGAAGGGATTATCCACAACTGCCCATGAAATAGCTTTTGGTCATATTCACACCTGATAGTCCGGTAGACTCGGTTCGACTGGGGACCAAAACTGCAAGCTTTGTTTACATTTTCTGTTAGTGTGGTTTGAATTCACACTGCACTTTCTGAACCGAACTAAACCCAGTAAACAACCTGTTCCCGGCCTCACCTGTGGGGGGGCGCTGCACAAAGAATCACTGAAGGAATCAACATGAAAACCTCAGAAGAAGACATGGAGCTCAACTTCCTTCCTCACAAAATGTAAACAAACAATAGTAATGTTACATGTTAGTGGTTATAGGGTTTATATTTTGTTTTCGGCAAATGTGCTAAACAGTCTTCAACAATGAGCTCAGCATGAGAGGAAGATGAGGCGGAACCACGGAGAATACTGTTTTGCACACAAGGCGGCCGAGGAAGCTCCATCGAGTAGGAGCGCGTCCAACTCCACAATCATGATGTCCACCTTATACAGTCGTCCAGTGAGGTATTTACACCATATAAGTTAATTTATTACTGTTATTACTCAGAATTTCATGCGGCATAGTCAGCTTCCTGCTTTTGGAGAGGTCTCTGGTCCGCTTGGCATTCACACATGCAATCGAACCGCACCAGAGTACGTTTCAATCTAACCGAGACCTAGGTTTTCAGGTGGACCAGAGTTCGCATTTTTTAGTCCAAATCAGAGTTCGATTACATGTTCGCCCCTCCACAAACGAACCGGACTTTCCAGGCAAACGAACTAGAGTTCGATTAAATCGGACTAAACAGTGCAGGTGTGAACATGACCTTTGAGTCAATTGTCCAATTACTTTTGGTCCCTTTAAAAGCAGGGTGGGCACATGTTAAGGAGATGAACTCCTAAACCCGTCAATGAAACCTGAAAATCAGGACTTTATGTCCGTTATATAACTATACCTTTAATATGTTTTAGTAAACGGGTAAACAAAACATAATTTGTTCCAGTGCCCAAATAAATATGGACCTAACTGTGCATACACTAAATTTATTACACTGTACTTCATCCACTTTTAACCATTCCAACTCAAGCATGACTCACCTATGAGATGCAAGGTCTGGATCTTGGCCGTTAGGGGGATGGTGAGTTTGTTCTCAGCAGGAATAGGAAAGGCCCCATTACGATTGCGAAATTTTCCTAGAATGTGAACCTGGGGCATATAGTTCCAAATGGCTTCCACTAGCTCCAGATGTGATGTGTCTACGCCCTGGAATGAGATAAACTACAGTTCTTTAGAAATAATAATAATTTAAAAAACAAAGTTTTTCCACTGTTGTTTTAATTATGAAACCATTTTAAATGTTTAATATGATAAGAAACTTCACAGAAAAATTGAAAGTTCCTAAAAATTATTTTGAGAATATACAGTGGTTTGCAAAAGTATTCATACCCCTTGAACTTTTCCATATTTTGTCACATTACAACCACAAACATAAATATATTTCACTGGAATTTAATG